TGTGGAGATACCATGACAGACCGTAGATGCGGCTGTGCCTATCCCCAAAATTCAAAGTGTGGCGGAGCCTTGCTTACCTTACCAAACCGCGCACGGAAATAACCGATAAGCAACTCAAAGACAATGACGACTGAACCCCCCCATACATTGAAAAATATTATTCATTCTTGACTCGACTCGCTTTGGTCGCACTTTCGTCTTCCTTGTCTATTGTTACTCTTTCAGATTATTCCCATTCACTCTTTCGATACCCTCATTTAACCTTCTGGCTTTGCAACTTCACGGAACTTCGCGACAGACTTGAGGCTTCCCAGGCTACACCATGGTGAGAATGCCCCCCCAACCCCCGATCCTCAATGCGGGCATTTCTTTCTGACACGCCTGTTTTGTTAGGGAATAAGTAGGCGACCAAAGGATAAATCCGCAGGCAATGCGCCGTCAGGCGACCGTGGGGCAGGGGGAGGGAAGCCCAACATCAAGAAGGCAGCATTCGATACGACCAAGAAGAAGGAGGTCGGAGTCTCGGACTTGACGCTGCTGAGCAAAGTTTCGAACGAAGCTATCAATGAGAATTTGAAGAAGCGCTTCGAGAATGGAGAGATTTACGTTCGTTTGAGCATCCTCCCTGAGCGGACGTTTGAATCCTGACCTACGCGCCCAACAGACTTACATCGGCCATGTGCTGGTATCAGTCAATCCCTTTCGAGACTGTGAGTATTGCACCATCCGACATTTACACAGGGTGCTGACAAGATTCCGAAGTGGGTATTTATACAGATGCCGTGTTGGATAGCTATAAGGGGAGGAATCGATTGGAGGTAGGCCAGATCTCCGAATTTTGAAATGCGCGCTGACCACTACAGATGGCACCCCACGTATACGCAGTTGCCGAATCCTCATATTATAACATGAACGCCTACAAAGATAATCAGTGTGTCATCATTTCCGGAGAGTCTGGTGCGGGGAAGACCGAGGCGGCAAAGCGCATTATGCAGTATATCGCCAACGTGTCAGGAGGCAAGGACTCGTCGATCCAGGAGATTAAGGATATGGTGCTGGCAACAAACCCTCTGCTGGAATCGTTTGGAAATGCGAAAACACTACGAAACAACAACTCGTCGAGATTCGGAAAGTACCTCCAGCTCCAGTTCAACTCGGCCGGCGAGCCCGTCGGAGCGGATATTACCAATTATCTTTTGGAGAAATCCAGAGTGGTTGGGCAAATTATGAACGAGCGCAGCTTCCACATCTTTTACCAATTTACGAAAGGAGCATCACAAAAATATCGCGAGACGTTCGGAGTGCAGAAGCCGGAGACATACGTCTATACTAGCAAGTCGAAATGCTTTGACGTTGATGGTATCGATGACCTGGCAGAATTCCAAGATACCCTGAATGCGATGACGATTATCGGGCTGTCTCAGGCAGAGCAGGACGAGATCTTCCGCATCCTAGCGGCGATCTTATGGACGGGTAATATCCACTTTGTCGAGGATAAGGATGGATATGCTGCTATTGCGGACCAATCTGTGGTAGATTTCTTGGCTTATCTATTGGAAGTTGACGCAGCGCATGTCGTTTCCGCCATCACGATCCGCATCTTGACGCCAAGAAATGGCGAGGTTATTGAGTCTCCCGCCAACCCCGCACAGGCAGCGGCTACCAGAGATGGACTGGCGAAAGCTCTCTACAACAATCTGTTTGACTGGATTGTTGAGCGCGTCAACGTGTCGTTGAAGGCTCGCGGCGCAACCTCGAACTCAATTGGTATTCTGGATATCTACGGCTTCGAGATTTTTGAGAAGAACAGTTTTGAGCAGCTGTGTATCAACTATGTCAACGAGAAGCTGCAGCAGATCTTTATCCAGCTTACCCTAAAGACAGAGCAAGAAGAATATGACCGCGAGCAGATTAAGTGGACGCCTATCCAATACTTTGACAACAAGATTGTCTGCGACTTGATTGAGGGTACGAGGCCACCAGGAATCTTCTCCGCCATGAAGGATGCGACGAGAACTGCACATGCGGATCCGGCGGCTTCAGATAGAACGTTCATGCAGAGCATCAACGGAATGTCGAACCCCCATCTCACTCCTCGCCAAGGCAACTTCATCGTCAAGCATTATGCTGGTGACGTGAGCTACACAGTTGAAGGTATTACCGATAAGAACAAGGACCAGCTTCTCAAGGGCTTGTTGAACCTCTTCGCGCAAAGCCAGAACGAGTTTGTGCATACATTGTTCCCCAACGAGGTCAACCAGGATGACAGGCGACAGCCACCAGCGGCTGGAGACAAGATCAAGACGTCAGCCAACGAACTTGTGGCCACTCTCATGAAAGCCACCCCGTCTTACATCCGTACGATTAAGCCCAACGAAAATAAGTCGTTCTCTGAGTATAACGTGCCAAACGTCATGCATCAGATCAAGTACCTCGGTCTGCAGGAGAACGTCCGTATCAGACGTGCTGGGTTCGCCTATCGTCAGACTTACGACAAGTTCGTTGAGCGGTTTTACCTCCTCTCGCCACATTGCTCGTATGCCGGTGAGTATACTTGGACAGGCGATTCGAAATCTGGCGCCAAGCAGATCTTGAAGGACACCAGCATCCCCGCCGAGGAGTATCAATTTGGTGTATCAAAGGCGTTCATCAAGGCGCCAGAGACACTCTTCGCTCTAGAGCATATGCGCGACCGATACTGGCACAACATGGCCATCCGCATTCAGAGAGTGTGGCGAGCATACCTACGCATCCGCTCCGAAGCCGCAACTCGCATCCAGAGGGTATGGCGCAAGAAGCGTGTCGGGGCGGAATTCCTCGAGATGCGCGAGAGGGGTCACAAGCTTTTGCAGGGCCGCAAGGAGAGGCGTCGCATGAGTCTGCTCGGCTCGAGGCGCTTCATGGGCGATTATTTGGGCTGCAACGCTGGGAGCGGGCCTGGTGCGCGCATCCGCAACGCGATCAACATCCCCGGCAACGAAGTCATCCTCTTCTCGTGTCGGGGCGAGGTCCTCGAGTCCAAGTTCGGACGCTCCAGTAAGCCTAGCCCGCGCATCTTCGTCCTGACCAAGAGCCGGTTCTACGTCGTCTCGCAGGCCGTTGTCAACAAGCAGGTCCAAATTTCCGCTGAGCGCGCCATTCCCCTGGGCTCGATTAAATTCATCGGCCTTTCGACAAGCCGCGACGACTGGTTCTCCCTAGGTATCGGGTCCCCACAAGAAGCCGACCCCTTACTCAGCTGCGTCTTCAAAACCGAGTTCTTCACGCACCTCACGCGGGCCTCACCCGGCAGCGGCTCCGCCCTCCTCAAGATCTCCGACCACATCGCCTACGCTAAGAAGCCCGGAAAGATGACAGACATCAAGGTCCTACGCGATTCCCAACAGCGCGAGGACTTCTACAAGAGCGGCGCCATCCACACCCAATCCGGCGAGCCCCCGAACTCCGTCTCCCGTCCCCTCCCCAAAGGGAAGCCCATTCCCGCCAAGCCCTTCACCAAGGGCCGCCTCATCCGCCCTGGTGGTCCAGACGGCCGGCCGTCGAAATTTGTAAACGTAGCGCGGAGCACCAAGCCTGTGGCGCACCCCGTAGCACACCAGCCGATCGCGCAGAACCCCATTGCGCATGCGCCTGTCGCTGCGCATAATCCGCTAGCCCAGCAGCTCGCGTCACGCACGCGCGCGCTCCCGCAGCAGCCGCAGGAGATCTCGCTGTCGCAGTATGCAGCTGCATCCAATGAGGTGCCGGCGCCGGCCGCACGTGCGGTACCGCCGCCTCCGCCACCACCGCCCCCGGCTGCGACGCCTGCGGGGCCGATTTTCCGAGCTATGTATGACTTTGAAGGGCAGAGTGCGAATGAGTTGAGCTTTAAGAAGGATGAGGTGGTGGATATTGTGCAGAAGGAGAATAATGGTATGTCTTTCCCATCCTCCTCCTCGAAAAAACAACTAACACATCCCCCAGGCTGGTGGCTAGCGAAACTGAACGGCCGCGAAGGCTGGGCTCCGTCCGCCTACCTCATGGAAGAAACCCCTCCTCCACCCCCACCACCCTCCGCCCGGCTCTCAGCCGCAAACGGGAAACCCAAGCCTCCTGCTCCTCCAGCCAAGCGTCCCGCCGCTGGAGGACGCAAGGCCGCGGCGCTACCTGGGCAGAGGGACTCGGGAGGGATGGCGAGTGGTAATGAGGGAGGGGGCAGTGGCAGGAGCACGCCGAGTTTAGCGGGGGGTTTAGCGGAAGCGTTGAGGGCGAGGCAGAGTGCTATGAATGCGGGGCAAGGGGGGAGAGATGAGGATGATTGGTAGGTAGGGCCTTGACGGAGGGGTCAGGCAAGGGATGATTTAGACATGTGAGGGGAGGCAGATAGAATGAATGGAATTTGAATACGTCATTTCTGTTGCCAGTGTCTCGGGTTGTAATTCGGGTAGCAAGACACTGAGGAGCTCTCCAGTTGATTTTCAGTTGTCAGTGTAGTGTCTCAGGTTGTATTTCGAGGGGTCAGTCACTCATGGGTGCACTCAGTCACTTGGACACTGTCGCCGTGGAAATCGCGTGGGAGACATGAAGCCTATGGATGAGAAAGTTTTCCCGAGATGTTCGCTCCTTCCTCGTAATCCCCCAAGATAACATCACTATAACAACGGCATTGTAAGAGGCGGAAGGCACAACGTCACAGCCAGTGGACGCAATTGAAGACACCTCATCATCGGATGAATTTCTTCAATCAAACACTTCAGCGTCGAACGATGATACACCTGCAAGCTCATTGGAGCCATCCCAGGAAATTGTCACTCTCGGGTCATGTAAGTTGAAGATGCTCGATTTATTATTGCAGGGTAGGAGATTACTCGCAGAAGTGGCGCTATGCATCGAGAATTTGCCACTTTTCGTGTATCCAACCCGGTCTATGTATCATTATATATCATCATATACACCGTAGCCACCATCCCGTCATCCATCTTCAAATCCCCACCTCTATCATCATCCCCCTTCCCCACCCCCTACCGCCCCCCCACAATCCTCCCCGCAACATCCCTCAGCACATGCTTCTTCACCTTCCCACTCCCCGTCTGCGGCACCTCACTCATCCCCGTCTCCGCATCCCCAAACCAGAAAATATGCGCCGGCGCTTTGTGCCTTCCCAGCACCCCGCGGACCCAGGCGCGGAGGACGTCATCGGTCGGCCTTGCCTCCTCCGACGAGGCGGGAGAAGATGGCGCGGGGAGAAGGAATGCCCCCACCACTTCCCCATACTTGGGATGCGGGATCCCCACCACTGCCGCGCGGAGGATGAGTCCCGAGGGGTGCGCGACGAGGCGGGATTCCACTTCTAGGGGGTATATGTTCTCGCCCCCTTTATGACGGTTAGTGTTTGATCGGGTGGAGTGGGGTTGGACGGACGACGTACCTCTTATTATAATATCTTTGAATCTTCCAGTGATAGTACAGTACCCCTCTGCATCAAATACAGCCTCATCACCTGTATGCAACCACACCACACCCTGCTCATCCCGGATCATGACTTCTCTTGTCTTGTCAGGGTTGTTCCAATACCCCTTCTGTAGTGAGTAGCCCGCCATACAGAGTTCGCCGCGCGTGCCGACTGGGACAATGGCGCCGTGGCGATCAATGATCTTTGATCTCAGGTGGGGAAGGACACGGCCTACGGTTGTGAGTTTGCGGTGGATGGAATCTCCAGCATGAGCGTTGAAGCAAGTGGGTGAAGCCTCCGTCAACCCATAACTAGATGTAAACTCCCTCATATTCAACTCCCCCACCATCCGCTCCATCAACTCCACCGGCACCGGTGCACCCGCCACTATCCCAGTGCGTAAGTTGGGACACGACCAGGACGCCGGCCGCGGGAGGGAAAGAAGTTCCTCGAACATGGCGGGGACGCCATGAAGCGCTGTGCAGTTTTCTGCAGCGATGGCGGCGAGCACGGCGCGGGCGGAGAAGGAGGGGCTGGGGAGGACGATGGTGCTGCCGTGGGTGATGCAGACGAGGAGGCCGAGAACGAGGCCGAAGCAGTGGAAGAGAGGGGGAGGACAGCAGAGGATGTCGGTGGGGGTGAAGGACATGCGGTGGCCGATGGAGTGGGCGTTGTTGATCATGTTGCTGTGGGGTGGTTAGCTTGGTTGATGGTGTTGGGGGTGATGGACAAACTGATGCGTAAGCATTGCGGCTTTGGGCTGCCCGGTTGAGCCGCTGGTGTATTGAAGGTTGCAAATGCCATGGGGTGAGACCATTATGCTGGCTGCTTTGAGGACTTCACTTGGGATCAGGGCGCCAGCGTCGATGAGTTCGTCGTATGTTGGGAAGCCGTTCAGGTGACCTTTTATCATGACGAGACTCTTGAGACTGCCGAGGTTGTTTCTATTCGAGAGATTCGAGGTGATGTCCGCGAGTAGTTGTATATTGTTATAATTCCCATACGCCTCCTGCGCAAATAGAAGCTTGCAACCTAATTACCAGTTAACCCAATGTCCTCCAACATGTCTCTACCAAACTCACCAGAGTGATCAAGCGCATACTGTGCTTCCGTAGCAGTATAAGTACTATTCAGCACCACAAGCACACACCCCACATACCCGGCCGCAAAAAACACACTGACATACTCCTCGCAATTGCCCGCAAGGATCCCGACACGATCTCCCCCCCGCACCCCCAGCGCCAACATTGCCTTTGCCAGACTCCTGCTCTTCTGCTGCAACAGTGTGTATGACCACCGCGCGCCGGTCCAGGGAACGATGAGACATTCCTTATCGCCGCGCAGTGCGCATTGCTCGTCTAGCAGCTCACCGAGAGTCAGGTCGACGAGGGCTGGTTCGGCGCCGCCATGGACCAGGGAGAGGGTGGTTGGCTCGGCGACATCGTTGAGGTGGTGCGTGGTTTGTTGGAGGCGGCGGATGGTAGTGGTGTTAGAAGACATGATGCGCGCACTTGTAGGAAAGACGCTGAACAAGCACACCCAAGCAAGAAACAATGAACAACCCTAGGAAATATATCTCTAGTTGAAAGAAAGGCACAAAACTAAATCCCTCGGGTTTTTATTCCCAAACGCAAGTACGTCGGCTTTCGAACAGCCAGACGGCACCACGGCACACACACACACTTTGACCCACCTCCTTGAGCTCCCGACACTATCTCGAGCTGGTTATTCCCTCCCCTGGCCATGGTCACTAGCTCCCCGGCCAGACCAGACTGAGCACATTTCCCTGCTGAGATGAGGGGGGACCATGGCGCAAACATCTGATTAGATTGGATCAGCTATGCGGCGATGTGCCGCATCTGATTAGATTGGATTGATTAGCTGGACGCCCTCGAGCCGTCGTCCGTCTTGGCTCTGTCCCGGTCAGCGGAGCGCGGTTGCAATTGCACCTCCATGACATGTGCCTTCCTGCACTGCCTTTAGCAGCCCTGAACGATCTTAAAGCAGCAACGGATCGCATTTCGTATAGTAGCTACATTACGGTAGCCGTGACACTAGCCTCGCCGGAGATTGACCATGCATGAGAAAACCAGGATCATGCTCCCGGTTGACAACTTTCGTAGGGCTTTCATGGACGGGTGTCTCGCATTATTGGCTGTGAGGAGTGCTTATTGGGCTCCGGTCGGGTATATGCCATCTGATAAGAAAAAATTATCAGATCCTGCACATGTTAGCGTCGTGGTGCCTGGTTAGGGCAGTACTTGTACCGGATCCACACACACACTTGGAGAGGGAGCGATGTCGCTAGGTGGGAGGTAATTACCTAATTACCTATGTAGGTACATATGGTTTTGTGGTGAGAGCGATGCTTTTATTGGAGATGCGTCGATATACTCGTGCTGTGCCGTGGTGAAGCCTTTTGATGCTTCTGTCGGGGGGTGATGGGGCGAAAATAGAAGGATGTCCTTAGGGGGGTTGGCCCATTTTTCGATTCCATTGGACAGGATTTATCGTAAAAAATGGTCTAATACCAATATACACCATGCTACGCAGCCAATCTATTGGCTGCGTAAGCTGTACCTAGCTACATATTCTATTGCCAAGCCTATTGTGCCACTATTCCCACTTGGCACTATTCCAACAGCCAATCATAATATATAAAGGAACACGCTTACACAATAAGGTAGTAGTAGACACTATGCTAGGAATAGTATTGAAACCAGGGTTACACTAACAGCGTTAATAAATAGACACCTGTATAAGAGACAATTGTCAGAGTTAAATAATCCCAAAAATAAACACGTGACACATTGGCAAAATACACGTGATATATGGTCAACTCTATTATTACGAGGGTATAATTAAGGAGACAGTGTTTATATTATACTAATGAAGCAAATACTATATTATTATAACCCCTCCTCGAATACGTCTTGTAAACTACGTCTACTGCTATAAGCACCGTTGGTATCGTCGTCGTAGTGGTCATCGTCATCGTCATCGTCATTCTCATCATCCATAAATTGCTCAGGCCTGTCGTTACTACTTCCATCCTCGTCTGCCGAACCCCAGTCAATGTCATCCTTTAGTGTTCCAATAGATTGCTGTGCAATCTGGTCGTCTATAAGGGGCATTTTCCTCCGTCGTCCATACATATCCTTGAACTTCAATCGTTTTGGGCCGATATTAGTATGCTGGTTTCTTGGGTAGGCATCAAACCAGTTGAGGAGCACCTGTCTGGGTACCCCATTCCGAACACCATGGTTCTGTTCGAAGTCAAGGTGGAGCTTTACCTTTACAGCTAGTGACACAAACCAGTCTAATATAGTTAGCACAAAACAGTAACCACTTATAAACAACGTACATTTAATCCAGAACGGGCCTGGAGCAATTGACGCTGTTCCGTTAGGACGCAGTTCACTTGACTCAATCTTCTCGTAGAACAGTATATATCGACTTGCCCAGCAAAAGACACTCTCTGCATCAACAACGCTGTAAATAGACTCGAACACTTCAAAGAGTCGAGATAGGTCTTGTTCATTCAGCAGAAACGACATGGATGGTTTTGTAAGGGTTTTACCAACCCATTCCTGTACATGTTCAGACAAGCTACTATATTTTGGGTTGGAGGGTCATACCATCATGCAGGTAATAGTCCGGTGCTTCCAGGTATTTGTATTGCCTCTTGCTTTATAGAGAGCCTTGTCTCGAAGCGCAAAGTTCTCATCGAAGTCAACAGATAGTGTAACGTCATTTACTATAGCCTCAAGCTCCTTGTCTGTTGCTCGCCCATATCGGAGGGTAAGTCGTCGTATTTCAGGATCCAACTTCTTCCTGATTTGTTTCCACGCATTGTTGTCAAAGAGCTTCGTCTGGCTAGCTGACCGTTGAAACGGTCCCATAGTGCTATTATGGGAACTGTGGGTGTATTGCATAGTATGCTTTGCAGTAGGTCGACAGGCTAGTAATGAGTTGGTAGATCCAGTAGAATTACTACTTCTACTACTCTGTTGAAGCGTAGATGCAACAGTGTTTCGACAGTTGTTGTTCGACCGAAGCTGTTGAGTCAGGTCCAAATGACCATTCTCAAAGGATAGCGTAGTATCTGGCTGGGTAGGGAGTTGAGAGGAGGCCGCATTCATTAACCCCCCCTGGACACGCTCAGTTTGAGACATTGAGGGGCTAGTTGTATTGGGTGTATCGTGTTGTAGTAACTGCAAGGTAGGTGAATTCATTGATGTCAACGGGGCTCCTTGAACAACCGAGTCTGGAGAATGCTGGCTTTGGGACAACCCTGGACTATTTGAGTCGCGTGGAAGGAGGTGGCCTAATCCATATGGGTATTGAGACCCAGAATTCCGAGCATTCTGTAGCTGGGAGTTTCCGTAGTTGTAATCCTCTTGGCTGTGGGCTTGCACTGCACCCTTAGCAATGCGTCTTGGTCGACGTGATGTCTTTGGCATAGTAAGGAACCTACAACCCAAGAATTAGCCTATCTTCTGTACATGTTCAGAGGGGGGCACAAACACTGATTGTATATTCTTATACACTCTGTAATTATACCATAATATATAGTAGTTTGAGAACACAGTATTGTGGTTGTACATGTATATTTCCAAACACTCTATTACGCGTGTGTGGAGCAAATATATGTGAGCACGTGACCCAAGATGACTAACACAGTAGTATTATCCAACTCTGTATGCGGCTCTTACTATAATATAACCCCCGTATTCAACAGGAGGTCTTCAAGCAACATATAGTGAATCATAATGGACTTAAGCCCAGATACAACATATACAGCTGAGGATTTTGGCAATCCAAATCGTCGGCGAAGGCGCAAGTGGCCAACTTATAGTGCAAACCTTCGAAGACATGTTGCACATCGGACTACACAAATAGGCCAGGCAGAGGCTGTACGGAGACGACACCTGCAGCTTCCTATTCCTAATAATGAAACAAGTAGCATCCAAACCTGTATAATACCTCCCTCGCTAACATTAAACCAGCCAGAAGACTACTACACAATGTATGATAGTGACAGCAATAGTAGTCCTGCCTTTATCTCCAATGATCAACCGGCCAACACAGGATCTAATATGCCAATTATGGAGCCAGGCTCTTCCTATACATGTTCAAAGGACGCTCTTTATTGTGACGATTATAATAGCATGGCTATGGGGGACAACAGCTCGGATAGTAACTCTGTAGAGAGTGAAAACACTCCCAAGATTCATTTTACAAGCAATGAGGTCATTGATCTATCTGCACTGAACCCTCGCTCAGCGCCAGTATCTGACTTTACAATGGCATTCGGACTCTGGTGCGATACACACCGGGTTACCCGGCAGACTTATAAGGCTTTACTCCAAGTTTTACGACTTCTTCCAAATGAGGAGTTTCGACAGCTCCCAGAAAACCTTGCAACACTCCAAAAGTGGTGCCGTCGTCGCCTTCCTTTACTACCGCTCCAAAGATCAGTTGTTGATGTCCGGATGGATAAACAGCCATCAGGCAATGCAGCAACGTCCCAAAGCTATATATACTTCTTTGACCCGCGGGTTATCGCTGCCACTATACTATCATCAACACTCGGTCAGCCAATACACCAAGGAATGGCCGAGATTGTAGACAATCCATCCGAGTTTTACCATTCCCGTGCATGGGGCTCTTCAATTCGGACCTGTGGCAGCGACTTTGCCCTATATAAAGGTGGAGAGCCAATATTTCCCTCAGACTTTGTCCAGTATAAGTGCAAAAGTCAGACCTGTTGTAGCTCCACCTCCAAGCATACAGGGCAGGTAGTGTTTGTTGGGCGTGATAGACGGGAACTGTCTACTACTATCAATACAGTACTCCTTCATATCAGGCCTTTATTGCATCAGAACGACATACTATACCAGTCCCGTGGACTACAGGAGGAAATTAGAAAGCTGTCAACAAGTGAGCGCATTATTGACAACGAGGGTTTAGTCTGGGTCCAGCCAAACCAGGTATTACACCGTCGACCCGATATTAGCATCCAGTGGGGTGATGGTACTATACGGACACCCTGGGCAGTTACTAAGATCTTTACCAAGGCCCATGGCATCGTTGATATCCAGAAGAGTACACCAATACGTGGGGGGCTAGAGATTAAGCAATACGGCCGAGAGTACCTTATGGCTACAGTTATGGCAGGAGTACTGTCACTGCCCCTCATTATGTTTATTGACGATTTTGGACTATACCGCAACATGTACCGCTCAGTTACTGGAGTATATATGATGCCAGCTGGGCTTGGTATTGAGCAGCGACAAAGGAGCATGAATAGTCATACTCTAACCCTTGGGCCCCATGGTTCTCAGCTTGATGCTACAGTATCGGTCCTCCGAACATGTATAGGGGCCCTTGAGCGTGGAAGCCCAATGGTTATTAGAGGAGTAAAGACAGTAGTATGGGCCCCGTTCATTACTATTCTAGGTGATATGAAAGGGCAACAACAGTCAGCTGGTTTTCTTTCCCCAAGGGCTAACCTCTGCTGTCGGTTCTGTGATGCAAGCCTTGATACAAGGGCTGATCTCAGAAGAGATATTGCACGCCATGGTCGGTTCCACTACCAAGTACAGGACCTACGCATGCAGATGGATAAACTTACCTCAAAGTCAACTCGGTTACAATTTGGTCACCGACATGGGTTAGCTGACCAGCCATCTGCCTTACAGTCTGTAATACCAGCACTTGACATTATTATAAGCCGCCCCCCCGATCCAGCACACAGTGAGTTCCTTGGTATCGTTCGGAGACTATATCCAATATTATATGGGCCATTGCTAACTCCAGTTGCCCAGGTTGAGTTTACTAAACAGTTCCAGACATATACGTTCCCGCCTGGCTGGAGTCGAATCCAATCACCAGAGAAGCACATACGGTCCTGGTCAATGAGCGAGTGTGGGAAGGCGTCAATTATCGTGCCATTAATACTTCGCGGTTGGCTAAAGACTATCCATATACGGCATACGTTCCAGCTAGCCCTTGCCCGCGAATGTCCAGTGACACACCGGCCTATACATACCAGAACTGATGTAGATTTCATTGTCCGTGCCTTTGGTCATATTGCACGGAGTAATTCCTTCGTGTCCTCAACTA